GGAGTCCGGAAGGTCTACCCCCGCCCCAGGGAAATCTTGAAATTCCATCTGTCCTTACAAGTATAACCATCTCACGGTTTTTCTTAGGGGAGAAATCCAGAATGGGAATAAAGAGCAAAATAAACGATAGATAATAAAATATATCGAGATGGATCCTTTGCAAAAGGGAAAGGGACCAAGAGGTGGAGGGAGGAGCGATCGAGGGAAAGGGGATGAAAAAAAGAGTTGAGATGTGTTATGTACTTGTACCAACTTCGCACTGCACACATGTACTGATGAAAAGTAAAAACTGCAAGAAAAAACAAATTCTGTGTGTCATGGGAGGGCAGTGCCATCTGCCTCTGAGGTCCTTTTTTAGTTTTTGAAAATCACTCTTGGCTCTGCCATCCTCGCTGCTGGGTCACCTGTCTCAGTCCCTGCAGTGCCTTGCGTCTCCCCGGGAAGGGGCAAGAGGGGAACAGTGCTTGTAATTATTAAACATGAATTCAATTAAAAAAGTTGTGTTTTAAATTGCAGCTGGGTGTGGTGGCACATGCCTTAATCCCAGCATCGGAGAGGCTGAGGCAGGAGGATTACAAATTTAAACCCAGCCTAGGCAATTTAGTGACTTAGCAAGAACCTATTCCAAATAAAAAAATAAAATAAAAAGCGGATGTAGCTCAGTGTAAAGGCCTTGTGTTCAATCCCAGCACCAGGAAAAACATTTACTTTGTAAAAATCTCACATAATCAGCAAGTAGTACAGTTGTATTCATTCTGTTTTTTTTAAAAACAGTGTTATTCAATGGAAAAACATTTTACTGAGGACAAAGGCACAAGAATTGACCCTGAGTCTTTAACTTATTCCATGCACTGTTACCCTCTTACAATATGTACTCATCTCGTCCTTAAAGATGAGGAAACTGAGACCCAGATGTGCCAAATAGTCTCCAAGATCATCTCACATTGACAGTCAGGCTCCTCCCTTCACAGCCGAAATTGGGTCCCGTATTTCCATTCCCTGGGTCATAAAGTAAGAGAAGTAGATGACATCACAGGTCTCCCAATTTTTTAATTATACTTTTTATTATTTAAAAAATCCTTTTAGCAGGTACCTTCTACTATGTGTTATTTTGAATCATAGCTGTGTATCATTTTTAATCCATTCATTAAATACTCATTTATTTCTTAAAATTTACACTAAAATTACACAGAAATTTTATCAATCAATTTTAATATATTTTCCCTTGGACTGGACAGCTCAAGTTTGCAGTGCACTCGACTTTGGAAACTACTAGCTCTGTGACCTCAATCGCTCCTACAAATTCTAGAACTCAATGATTCTAGATTTTCTGGTGAGCTTTGTACACTGTACAGAGACTGCACTGATGAAAACATTGTAATGACATGAATATGTTTTAGTGAAGAAATCAGAGAAGCCTAGAAAAATTAGACCATAAAGTTGACTTGAGAACTCTTTGAAAGGTAATTTGGGCAAAATGAGAACTTAACAAATGGGGAAAGAGAAATCAAAAGAAGTGATATAATAATAATAATAATAATAATAATAATAATAATAATAATAATTGCTGCTATTATTCTATTACATAAAATACAGTAGAATACTTTCCGTGTGCCAGGCCTGTTTTAAGTATTATTAATTTATTGAATCACCCCAACAGTCCCATGAGATAGGTGCTGGCATTTTTTCTAGGTTACAGAGAGGGAAATTGCTCTTACAGAGAGAGTCAGCATATCAACTTATCAAAGGTCAGTTGTGTATTAAGCCACAGAACCGAAATTCAAAGCCAGTCCCCTGGTTTCAGAAATGAGCAACAAAGAAAGCAGAGGGGGGAGAAAAGGTCAGAGACAATGTCTAGGTGTTGTTAGTGGGCATTTGCTCATGGTCTTGCAAGGGGCCGAATCTCTCTACTGCTCCTCGGTTTCCCCACTGACGTTTGGATGGGGTTGACTCCCCAATTCTGAGGGCAGTTCATCCGGTGTAGGACTCTCAAGAATACTTCATCTAACTAATGTTAGAGACTGGTACCTGAGCTGATTAAAAAGCAGGGTCAAGAGGTCTCATCTGGTGACATAGTGTGTTTTCAGGGACAGCCCTCTCTCGCACACATGAGGGGAAAGGCTTAGTGGAATGCAGCCAGTGCCTAAGAAACAGGGAAGAAAAACAGAGAGAGATCCTAATATCATTTTAGTAAACTTGATTCAAGCCCTCACAGACACAATTATAATGAGTCAATAAACTGTTGTAGTTGAGTTTGGGTTGGATATTTTCATACTTTCCACACTAAAAAGTTCTAACAAAGAAAGGATTAGAGGGAAGGCCCTTGGCTCTTTGAGATCAACCTTGATTTGCAGGTAGCTGCTGCCACACAGCAAAGACTTAGATGAATCTAGGATATCACTGAGACATTGTCTTCTTTTTCTAGATTCAGGAAGTCAGCAACTGGATGACAGAGATTCTTGCCAGGGAACCCTTCCCTGGTGTCTGGAATGAAAGGACTCTACACACTGAAAACTAGGGTGTAAGCAGAGTACAGAGGCTGCAGAATTCAACTGGATGTGTGTCATAATTTGGAATTGGGTCAGAGAAATGTAATGCTCTAAAATAATCAGGAACAGAGCTGGGTATGTAGCTCAGTTTCACTACACCTGCCTGGCTAGTTCAAGGTCCTGAGTTTGACCGCCGGTACCTGGAAAAAAATGCAAAAAACAACAACAAAAAAACAATAATTAGGAAAGTATGACATAGTAGCCAGAAACCTAGATTTGAATAATGCATGTTTTAGTTACTAGTTGCTGTGGTTTAGGTAAAAAGAAAAAGTGTGCCCCAAATTTTGGACAGGTGATTGAATAGTAGGAGCGCTATACTCATCAGCGAATTAATCTATTGAGTTCATAGCTCAATGTTCTGACAGGAGGTGGGGCCTATCTGGTGGTGTCACTAGGTTATGTGACCTTAAAAGGTCTGTTTCTGTTTCTGGCTTATTCTTTCTCTCTCTGCCTCCTGGCTGCCATGGCATGAACAATTTTCCTCTGCCAGTCTCTTCCATCTTGTCATTTCTGTCTTGGAGTGAGCCATTGTCAATGGACGGAACCCTCTGAAACCATGAGCCAAAATAAATCTCTCCTCCTTTAAGTTGCAGTTGTCAGTTGTTTTGTTCCAGTGACAGGAAGGTGACTAATGCAATAGCTGAGTGATTTGGGACAAGTTACCACGACCTCTCTATGTTTCAGTTTCCTCCCCAGAAAAATGAGAAAGTGAAAGTTGATGAACCTCAACAGGGTCCTCCTAATCAAGAAACTGCACATTTGCCCCATTCCCTAAAAAGGCCACCTGAGAAACCTGCATATTAATGCAAAGTATTCTAAGCACTGAGTTCATTTAAAATCTCATTTGAAAATGGAATTGTATGAAAAAAATACTTGGGAATTGCTTGAACTGATAAAGGATGTGTAAGATTTGTTGATATGACTTGAGAATGCTTCTGCAGCCTTTCTCTGTTGGCCTTGTACAGATTCTCCTCCAGTACTCTTGTAATCTTTTTTAAAATCCCCCTTCTCTCTCACGTAACACTAGTCACATTCTGTGACTTAAGAACAAAGTACTTAAAGTGCTATTGATAAGGATATAATAAAAGATTTGGATTTCTGATCAAATGCATTTATTATTATATTTAATATTATAAATAATGAATATCACAATAGACATTTTAAAAAACATAAGTAAACAGCAGGGCATGGTGGTGCTTGCTCTTAGTCCCAGCCAAATGTAGGCTGAGGCAGGAGGATCTCAAGTTCAAAGACAGCATGGCAACTTAGCAAGACCATCACCAAACACAAAAATAAAAAGGGATGGGGATATAGTTTAGTGATAGAGCACCGCTGTGTTTGATCTTCATACTACCAAGTAATATATATATAAACATAATGTGTAATGAAGAATCTGGATGCATCCATATATCTAGATCTATATCTATATATTTATAGATAATATATGTATGCATATATTGATTTTTTTAAACAAACAGGGTTATTGTTTATATTCAAATGTGAGTTAGGACAATCGGGTACAAGTGTTCACATTGGGAGACAAATCGAATTATAAGATGACGGAAACATGCCATGAGGGGGTACGTATATTTTGCTGCCAGAACTCAGCAGAGAGAGGGACATCACTGTTAACTGGGTAGGAATCTCACAATTCGGAGGACATCTGAGCTAAGTGGGGCCACGCGGATTTTACACCGATGTGAGAAAGAAGGTACTTGTGGGAGGGACCCAGGAGGGGCACAGGTAGCCCTGGGAGCTGGCGGAATGTGGGTAGCGAACCCTCTGAGGAATGAGCTGTAGCTGGAGACGCTCACCCTCGGCGGCTCTCTCACTGCACCAGAAATGTCATATACTGTTAGGCAGTGCTCCCAACGGCCCATAAGCTGACTGCTGTTTCACCATTCCCGATCCATCGCTAACAGGGATTGTGAGGGAATTAGGTAGGTTCATGGTGTTAGCCGGAAGTGTCCTGTCTCTGCTATTATTGCAACAATCTGTCTTTAGATCTCTCCTCTCCTTTCTTCTCCTTTCCTCTCTTCTCCCTCTTCTTCTTTTCCTTCCTCCTCCCCTCCTTTCTTCCTCTGCATCCTCCTCTTCTTTCCCCGCTCCCCACAGTACTGGGGATGGCACCTAGGGCCGTTACACTGAATTACATCCTCAGCCTTTGGAAATTTAAAAAAATTTCAGCCTAGGCTGAAGCTTGTATTCCTTCCACCATGGCCTCTCAGAGCGCTGCGATCTCCGATGTGCACCACCATGCTGGGGTTTCAGATGTCTTTTAAAGCAGCAAGAGCTTTCGGTTAAAATAAAAGCTTTAAGTTCAGACCCTATCTTTCCCATCCCCTGTGACTGCGAGGACTGGGGATGTCGATCTTACCAAGAGATATCTAGTCTGCAGCCAGCCAACGTTTGAAGATCATACTAGGCATGGCGCATGTAATCTTGGCAGCTAGGAGGCTGAGGCAAGAAGGTAACTTGTCGTTTCTCCTCCAGTAGCCTTGCAATCTTTTTTTTTTTTTTAAATGTCTCTTCTCTCTCACATAGCACTGTTTATATTTTGTGTTTTTTTTAAATGGCCGCTTTCTTTAGAGAGTTCCAGGAACTTTCCACTTACTAACATATCCAGGTAGAAATTTAAAATTTGGCTCCATACATATTCTAAGAAAGAATGTTTGTTTTTTCAGTGGCTGCTTACTGGCTCTCTCCACAAATCCTCGCTTTCAAAGGGAGAAACTGGAGTAACAACTCTTTCAGGGACTGGTTCCAGGCACAATAGACCTTGACTATTCCAGTCAAGATTTCAACAGCTCAGAAGGTGACCAAAGTAGGTGAGGATATCTGTTCCATTTCTCAACTACTTTTCTCTTAGTCTGCATTCTGATCCATGCTAAAGATAAGGCTCGGAAAGGAGACCTTCCCTCAAGACCCTTGCTCAAATAGTGAAGAAGTACTTTGATCAGAGCTGTTCGGAAGGTTGAAAGAGGCAGTGCTGGGGGGCTGTGTTGGAGAGGAGAGGGGAGACAACGGGGAAATTGGGGTAATATTCCCATGGCTATGGCTGCTCCACAGGCGTTCTCTGAAGAGAATGTGAGCTGATTCTCCAAATTCTATTCTATCCTGGATAAAGCCTTCTTTTATTCTGGATGATTTGGTATTTCTTACTTGGTTTTCGACCTAACATGGGAATACTTTATAAGTGTGTCAGCTGGCTTACACCCGCAAAGGAAGGTGTGGAAGAATGCAAACGATCGTTGTGCTAGCCAGAGGATTCAGGCAAAGCTTGAAGACCTGGAGCTCACTGCAGGCTCAGACGAGGCCACATCAGGAAGCCGGAAGGTCTGCCCTGAAGGCTGAAGGGTCTGTGCTGGACGCTGGAGACGGAGGTGCAGAGTCCATGGCAAGAACAGCAGCTCCTCCAAGAAGCAAACGGGAGACTTCCTGCTTCGGCCTCTTTGTGGGTCTTCCCTCTTCAGGAAGGCCATGGACCAGACACAGCCGGAACTGTGTGAAACCAATCAGTGGGGTGTCACTCATTCCAGCTTCCGCCGCAGTTACCTATCACAGTACAGCGCCAACACATGGTGTGCCGAACGGAAAGACGGGAATCCCTTTTTCATTTCTTGCATTGGAATTCTGGTGATAAAGCAGCAATAATAAATACATTAGGGTAAATTCATCTTGGAGAATCAACATTTGTCTGGTCCGATAAAAATGACATATTTAAAATATTTAAGGTAGTTTAACATTTAAAGTCAGGGACATCTGTAGGGCACAGCGTTCACATTTCCACCCACCCGTACAGATCCGGCGTGACGTGACCCCAGCCAAGCTGAATCACAACCACAACGATTATCCGAGGAACCCTAGTCAGGTTTTCACCCCGGAGTTTCCCAGATGTTACAAATAGGCAAAACCATGAGCATGGTACATGGACACCAGGCAAGTGCCTAACCCTCTGGTTTTTAGCTTGAGAAGAAACCAGGCACCTTGGAGGCGCTTTTGTCCCGAGCACTTCGGAAGCCCAGTCCTCAGATGCAGGTTGCAGCGCTGCTCCTTCCGGGACCACACTTCTGAAACTCCAGATGGTCTGTGTTTTCTTCTGCTCCCCAGCACCTCTGGGCCGTTTTGCATGCACTGGGACCAGATTATTCTGCACCAGCACTTTTCAGTGGGCCTTCTTTTCTACCCTCTTTACTTTGAGTTGCCAAATCTCATTTCAAGTCCAATTCATCTCCATTCTTCAGTTTCCTAATCTCTGAAAGGAAGATGATGCTTCCTCAAGATTTTTCTTAAGGCTCAAATTCTTCGCAGAAGGGAAAACATGAAGAACAAAACATGAAGTCTTAAAATTTAGAAAAGATAAAAGGTCAACTTTGGGAATACAAATGATTTAACTCCATGTTCCTGGGTGAGCCATACATGGCAATACTAAAAAAAGACATTTAACTTATATAAAATATGCCTCTCAGATTATTAATGTTTCTCATAATATACGCCAATCTTAGGCTTTGTAAAATATTGGCAGACACCGGTTTTAGATGTATCACAATTCTAGGGCTCAGTTTTTTAATTGATAACTCTAGAGAAGCTTTGTGGAATGTTTGGAAAGATTTCCAGCTGAAATAAACCATTGCAGCAGTTCTCAGTCTGGGGTAAGTTCTCCGCCCGACACAAAAATTATTCTTAATAACATTTCACAATAGCACCCTTTTCCAGCACTGATTCCGAACCCCAGCCATACTTGGAAATTTGTACTGTTACTACCACAAGAGAGTCTGTTCTAGAAAGAAAACGGGCTTTCTCTTCCAAGACTGTCAAATCAAGAGCTTTCACAATAACAGAGAACCACTCTATTATTGCACATCATAAAAAACTCATGCCTGTAGCTTGAAAAGAGAAGCCTTTGGTGTAGGCATTTGCTTGTTTGACAGTCTGTTCTCAATTTTGAAGCTAGTGGTACTGTAAAGTGCCTGTCTGACAATGGTGTACCAGAGCTTAGTCATGCAAAATAATTACTGTTCACCGTTCCTTAGCTCAAGTCACTAACTCCCTGCAAAACACAACATAATGCAGAGATCTAAAGTTACTCAATCAAAACCAAGAAAAAGAAGAATTTTAAACAAGTTTGGCAGGAAAAAAAATAGATTTGACAAAGACTTACCAAGTGATTTCTCTCTGCCCATGGAAAGCTGCAATCTTTCTAAGAGAGGTTCCATGAGAGAAATGTTGATAACTTTTATTAGCACAGTCTGGTAAACTGTAGGCAGCAATCGTGTGTGATGTCAAAGACACATAAGCAATCCTAGAGATAATAAATAGTGCACAGTATCTGTCTCCTAAATTTGAAATATCTGCAGGTTTTATTCTATGAATTCAGTGTTTTCAAGCTACTCATGCATCACCTATACTGAAGAGGGTTGATTAGATTTGTACAAAAATTAATAAATATGTTATTTTTGGGACTGAGGTGGCAGATGTACCTTCCCTGGCCCTTTGTAGGGTGCACCAGTCATTGGAATGGTTCATCCTGGAAAGGTCAACATTAGTCCCGCAAATGATAATTACCTATCCAGGTTGCTTGAAACTTTTAGAGGGAATCCTGGCAGGAAGGGTATTGCTTCCTGGCTGTGTGACAGAAAAGAGTAGTCTCTTGCCCAGCTGGTGGCAGACAGGTGTCCCAATTCTGGGACAAACAAGGGAACAGACAACAGTATCTATTTTTTTTTTTTCCCCCAGGAGAAGCAGAAACATAGATATAAACTAGGATTTTTCCTCCATGACCTATTTAGTCCGGTGCTTTCGATTCAATATTAAAGTGCCACTACTTTAATTGTTTTAGTCTTAGTTTATTGCCAGCTTTCATAAATTCCACGCATTTTTAAAAAGGCAATTTTGTTTTAGAGATATAACTTGTATATGGTGAAATGCACGGTAAGAGTACAGGGCAGTGAATTTTGACAAATGCACACTCCCCTGTAACCAGTACCCTGAATAACTTGCATCATTCCAAAAAGTTCTTTTATGGTTCTGCTATGGTCTGAATGTCTGTGTTTCCCCTAAAGCTCCATTGTGGTGGTATTGAAAGTGGGACCTTCAGAGAAGTATTGAAGTCACGAATGGCACTAGTGCCACACTCTTTTCATCAGCTTCAAGAATTCTACCATTTTTTTGGTCTGTTCTCACTGCAGCTCCTTTTGCCTCTTGCAGGCACTAAGTTCTGAGTTTATTTCAGAAGTTAGTACCGCTTTCAAGCTGCCTCAGATCTGCGTTGATGTTTAGCATAAGAGGAGCTCCCTTATTAAAGCACATTTAAAAAGTGTACTGTCATTCCACAACAACATTTGAATGTTTAGAATGTTGCTTCCTTTTTCACTTTTTGCTCTCCTTAAACTTAAGATAGATTCTCATGTATTTTTACTGAAATACCCAAGTAGGGCTTTTCCCTTTAGGTTGCGGTGTGTGTGTGTGTGTGTGTGTGTGTGTGTGTGTGTGTGTGTGTGCTTATTCTGTGAATTTAGGGAAAAACAAAGATCCAAGACAATTGAAAAAGTGAGCAGCACCTGTTTTCCACCCACTTACGAAGTAGTGATGGCACAAACTTTTCTGGTATTTCTCATTTTGTCTTTTTTTTTTTTTTTTTTTTTTTTTTTTTTTTTTTTTTTTTTTTTTTTTTTTTTTTTAAGATCTGGAAAGACTGGATTTCCGAGGCTTTGTTCTCCAAATATTTCTGATTCAATCTTTACAACCAGAAGCTTCCACTCTTATCGTGGCAACTCCTCTTTGTTGTAAGACCTTTGCACTCCCCTCCCTCAAAGCAATGAACTTTGAAACCGATTTTACTATTTGCTGGCCAGTTATTTGGCTTGGAACTTGGGTGGAGTTTCTCTGAAAGATTTTACGCTAGGATTAAAATGGTGAGCAGGAAGATTGAAAATCTGAATCCTTCCTTTTACCCAAAACTAAAACAACCGGAATAACTCTCTTCTCACTAGGAGAGCTTGTAACAAAGTCGAATTAGCAAGTGTGGATTCTTGATTCTTTCACAACTTTTTCCCTGTTAGTGCTGTACTTCATGGTCAGTTCTTCCTAGTTCTGAATTGAGATTCTTTTCCTGCCAGTTTAATGGCAGCTTACTTTGCTTTTTTAGCCTTTGTGTTTGTTATGTTGTAAACTGTGGGAGGACAACTATTTGATGACACTTGTCAGTTTTAGATTTAGCATTAAACCAAGTACTGTGCCTTCACTTAGGGTTTCCTGAATTAAATTTATTACAGTCAAGTGCTGATACTATATCAGACAGTGATATATGTGTGCACATGTGGCAATAATTGCTAAGGTTTATGAGAGGAACACCTTCATTGATTAGTTAGTAGTTTGAACATCTTTTATAATTAAATTATTACATGAGTCGGGGCTCCTTTTCAGAAACATGCTAACACTGTTTAGCTGACAATCTGCAGATGAAGTTATTTAAATAATAACAGCCCTATAACTTTTTCTATAATCACAGATTAGGTTGTTTCACTCCCTAACAAGTGAAAGTATTTTAAATAGTTTCAGTACTATACTTTCTTGGCTGGCATCCAGAACAAGTTGATCACATCTCAAATTCTATTTTGTTCTAGTTAGTGTGACAGCCAGGCTGCAGTTTACAGAGATAGGTGAATAAATAGTTTACAAGAAGACACTAGCAGAATTCCTTTTTTCTTTGTTTTGTAGAACACAGACCATACAGATAGTCCTGAAGTATTCCTTAAAATATAAAAGGGGTAAAATTAGGACCCCCCCAAAACAGTACATCTAACAGTATGTGGAAAATGTGAGTCGTATTACTGTAAAAAAATAAAATATAATAACAATGTAATATAGATTGAAAACATGAACTGCTAAGACTGTCCAGATAAACCCACGAAAGACGGGTCCATACATACTACTGTGAGGATTGCAAGGTCCAGAAAGCTTGGAATAGGCCATTCTGGATATTGATATTAATCATGCCTTTCTAAAACACTTCTCTCAATGTTCCTGTAAAAGGAAAAATTACGAGGCTGATTGCAGTGGTCTGACTCAGTCTAACCTGTGCCTTGGACCCCGATGTGCTGGTGTCACAGACTTGGAACAAGTCCCCGCAGGGGGTTTGACCCTTAGCCTTGCGCCAGGCACCCGGAAAGTGGAGTTTATCAAAAAGAAGCTTCATCCTTATCTTCTACTCTGTTTTTAAAACTTTTCACAGAGTTTTTATTGTTGTTGTTGTTGCTACTTTCAAAACCCAACCTGAAGATCTTTGGTGCCCAACCCTAACTCTCCCAGGCCCTACTGGGAAGCTGGGCAGCGGCCCGAGTAGGATAATGCTGAGTCAGGAGCCTGGTTCAAGTCCCCGCCCAGGGTGAAGCAGAGAGCACAATCTCGCGGGGTCAAGGTGACCTGGAGCAGGGCCGCGGCTGCTCCGGGAGCCCAAGGGCACTTGGGGACGGGTCTTGAAACTGCCGAGCAGGAGCTAATTAGCATAAATTCGCCGGAGGGGGCGTGGCTGCGCCTCTCCCCAGACCTGAAAGTCCCTGCGCCCGCGTGTTCGGCTGCAGAGGCAGGTTGCTCCTTCTCCGCCCCGGACTCAGTAGGTGCCCGGAGGGAGGTCGCGGGCGGTGGGCACAGGTTGGTGGAGGGTGCAGGGCTGGAGAGACTGACAGCCTGAGAGTTTCTGCTCTGCGTAGCTGCTTACACTTTCGCTTCAGGGATCCCGTTCTGCTTCTGCTCCCGGGTTAGGGTTAGGTCTTCCTGTTTCTCAGGCTCCGAGAACGAAACCCAGGACCCTGGGACTCGGTCTTCCGCGGCGGGGGGCGGGGGGTTAAAAGTGCCCGCGGCTTGTAACAACAAGGGTTAGAGCCCTGCTGGTGCAGATTGCGCGCGCGCAGGCCCGAGCGCCTTCTGAGAGAATCCGCTCTTCGCTCTGATAGGGAAGAGGAACATTGCTAAGTTTAAGGAAATCAGAATGATGATAATGTTAGATAACAACGCCAGGGGACGCGGGTTAGACTGTGCTACTGCTGTGAGATCCGGTCATGGTCAGACGACTGGAGACCGAGGGTGAAAGCCCCGGGGGGCCCTCCTGGGTGCCCCCCTCCATCAGCCCGCTCCTGCATGCAGGAGGAAGCCCCTTGGTCCAGGGGGTGAGGGAGGGAGCAGGGTTCCTTTTTGGGAATGAAAGGCTCCGCTCTCGACTGGCGCGGTGCAGAGCGGTACCCAAGGCCTCTCGATAATCTGAGCACCACATTTATTTTCTGCAGACGAGTCCCAAGTGGCAGGCAGCTGCCCCAGTACCCAGTAACAGTCTTGAAGCCAGAACGCCCCAGCCCCAATCTCTGGACTCAGAGTCGGGCCAGCCTTTGCTCTCCCGGAAGCCCGCCCTCGTAGGAGTTATGGCGATATTGTGTTTGTGGTACTCCGGAGATGCCAAAATAAGGACTTAAGTAAGGACAGATCCCTGTGGTCGTTTTGAAAAATGGCAATCTGTCCAAATTTGAATGTGGCCCGACAAGTTTTCCCCAGGGCTTTTACTTTAGCCTGGAGTTTATCCTGCCCTGAGGCTTTCAAGGGAGGTCGGGACGGACCCCTCCACCCAGACCCCCCAGGAAGCCTTGCTGCACCGCAGTCCCCTAGGACACCAGCCTCGGGGCTGGAGACCTCCTTTGCCTATACCTCCTGGGAGAGGACCTCTCTTACAGCCACCGCAATCCCTTCAATGGCAGCATGGCCGCCAGTTGTCCTTTTTCCTTATCTCAAGTACTGTGTTAGTTTCAGAAGGTACAAAATTGAAGAGTCATGGCCTTGGGCTGCATGCCCAGATTTTTCCGTTTCACAATATCGATAAAGACAAAATAATCCTTAGAAGAAAGGAACTTTGGGCCTTTTGACCAAGAGCCTGGTTTTGAAAGAATGTTGCTCAACCAAGAGATGAAAGCGCTTCTGTAACCGAGGCTGCGGGAGAACAAAAGGAGGTGGGAATAGAATCTGACAAAAAAAGGCTTCTGCGGGAAGCCAGCCAGCCTAGGAGCAATCTTAGCTTTGATGGTGGGTGGCCCGGGAGCAGCGGCCTCCTGTCTGAGTTCTATCACTGGAAATTTGGGTGATAGCACCCACTTGTCTTCTCTGGACCTCAGTTTTCTAGATATATTAAAGGTGTAGACAAATATGACTTGCTTTGTTGCTTTAGGGGTTTTCAGATTAAGGGAGACACATAGTATGTGAAAGTTTTTGGGAAACTGCAATTGTATCTTCCACGCCTGGAGCAAGCAGGGACTTATTTATTTACCAAACACTCATAATATGGCTTACAGGGGTTCAGTGTTTTTTAAAGCACGTTACACTAAGTTGTTTAATGCTCAGAAAAGCACGTTACACTAAGTTGTTTAATGCTCAGAAGTATCCTTGTAGGGTAGGATTTATCCTTGTTTTACAGGTAAAGTAACTGGGCCCGGAAAAGTTAAATTGTAGCTTATAAGTGACACTGTGGAGATCCACGCAGGGTCCAGTCCACTTCCAGAGTTTGTGTGGACTCAGCATCAAGCCTGTGTCCTTGTAGTCCGCTGTGTTGCAGGGGACTGAGGCCTGAGGTCTGGGTAGATAAGTAGAGATATTCCCTTCCATGCCAGCCGGTGAGTACAGTACCATGGACAAATCACTGTACAATCTAGTTAAACCTTGTAATCATTTATTCTGTATAATTTATAAGCAAGTGTCCTGGTTTTTCTCTGCTGCTTTGTTAGATCATTTCTACCACATTCCAAGAGTACTCAAACCACCTAACACTTTACCCTTTCCTTCTCCCTCTCTTTCTTTCTCTTTTTCCTTTACTATACTGTTTTATGCTTTCTGGAGCCCTTTCCTGGCAAAAAAATTCAGTAATTTTCTTTCTACTCTAGTGCCCAGTCACCATAATGGTCGGGTTTATTTGTAAATAAGTTACCATGAGTCTTCAGCTTTGGATAAACTAAAATCCAACCCAGCTTCTCCTTACTCTATGCGATGAATAACTCTTACTTTCAGTGTTCTTGCCTTTGCTACTCACCATGTCCTTGCCCCTGCGCCCCCATTGCCTGGCTGCTGTCCCGGGGGAGATGGCATTAGAACGCCCAAAGTATGGTATGGTAAGTCGATGTTGTCCCCCTACCCCATTGCAGCTTGACAAGTTCAGCCACATTCTTGGTGATTCTTGTGTGAAGTTTGCTTTCTCTCTGTGTGAAGTTTGCTTTCTGTGTGTGTGGGTGTGTGTGTAAATCCTCCCGTTACCCTTTGTTGCTCAACTGTTAACATCTTTGTGTGTGTTTTTTTTCCACTAACAGATCCACAAGGCTTTGTCTTCTCTTTCAGTATCAATGTTCGCCAAGCAAAGAAAAGTACTCCGGACTTCCGTTCCATCACTAAATAAATTTTATTCTGGGAACAATAACAGAGATCATTTTAGTTTTAAAATTATTAAGTTGGAAATTCCCTACTTGATAAACTTCCTAGTTTTTGAAAATGAGCACTCCTGCTGTATTCAGATCTCTAACCAAAGCCACAGGCCGTAGGGATCCTTTATTAAGTGAATAAAGTTTTCATAAGCCCTGAAAGAGTGAAGTTTGTTCCTGGTTTAAACCCTCTCAGTACTAGAACAACAGCAGGCATGTTACATGTTACTAGAAGTATTATCTTGCCCTGAGAACTAATCCCACACATAGTGTTTGCAAGACTATGAACTTGTGGAGGTGGATTAATTTGCCGTCTTATGTGAGATTCTTTTTTTTCTTTACCTAGAATATAAAAAAAATATTAGGAAAAATGTATCTGTACGGAGGATGTACAGACTTAGTTCTTGTCACTGTTCCCTTAACAGTATAGTATAGGGACTGTTTACCTAGTGGTCCCATCATGAGGTGTTATCATCATCTAGAGATGATCTAAAGTTAAGAAGAGTGTGCATGAGTTATATGCAAATAGCATGCTGTTTTTTTCAAAGGATTTGGACATCCACAGAAATTGGCATTCACGGGACAGTCATGGAACCACAGGACAACTCTGTAGTTTTTGTTTGCCTAAATCCGAGGAATACATTTTTAGCCTAAGGAAACACATCTTGGCATTTACTAGGAATCTTTACTTTCCTTATCTGAAAAATGGGAATGATAATACATGACTCATTAGCACAATAGCTAGAAGAAAGTAGATGTAAGGGGTGCCCAGCTGGGCTAGCCATAGAGTGGGGATTCACTCAATTTTGGATGAATCAGAACTCAGCAGAATGAAGCAGTTGAAAGCTCAATTAAGCAGACCTCACGAGGGAGCTCATACAGTGTGTGAGCATATGGGATGTTGGGTCAAAGAAAGGAATTTGTGTCTTAGCTTGGCTACTTAACATCTCTGATTCATAATATCTTTGTCTTTGAAAACAATGTAGTTATAAGGACTAAAATATTACAGTACAATGATTATGAAGGTGTTGTACAAGAGTTTGTCATCGTCAGGCTGTGGGAAACTTATAAAAATTAAATATGTATCTTTCTGTATGTTGTTTTTATCACAGTCCACTGCAGCACAGAGACAGTTATTTGATTAGTAACAAAATCTAGAAATGTGTGTGATATATAAGGAGTGATGATGACATACAGCGACTAATTTAAAAAGTGTGTTTCAGTGCAAATACATTGACATTATATCCTTAGAATCCTCCTCTTTGCTCTGAGCGCACTCATCCCATTATTGTTGCCACTTCCTGAGGCAGCTCTGGAAGGTCCTCTTTTGTGAGGGTCTAGTTGTGCTGTTGTCCTGAATCAATGTACAGCATTTACCTCTGGCAGAGCCAGAGTTCTCACAGAGCTACTGACAGTAAATAAAGTGGATAAAGACCCAGTACAATGTTTTTACTTAACATGTAATGTGCCTGCTGTTGTTCTAGTACTGACAGGATTTAAGTCAGAAATAGCTGGAAACTCTTGATCAATAAGAGGTAACCTAAAAATACAGTGAATGCTTAAATAAAAAATTTTATTACAGTACAAGACATCTTGCCATAAATGTCCCTCCAAATACTCAAACTACCCCCTTATTTTGAATACACTTTTCCCATTATGCTTGGGAACGTGTCTTTTACTGTAACATGTTTTGTAAATTTTAAATATTCATTGTATTTTTTTAACCACCCCTTGAATATAACAGGGAGATGGAGAGAATGATCAGAATCTGTTAGGTTTTAGTATATGTGCTGGTGAAGCGAGCACTGTTAGGTTTTAATCTACTGAGGTTTCAGGCAAGAGTTAAGGTTCAAGGGTAGGAATGGATATCATCAAGGAGAGACAATACTCACATGTGCTAAGCAGAGGAAGTAGGTGTCGGTGAGGTGAGAGAAGAGGAGTGTGTTACACAGAAGTGTTAGAAGCAGAATGAGCCCCAGAGAGGGCTGGGAGTTGAAACTGTAAGCCTGACCCTAAACTCCTACCCCCCATATCGCTAGTGCCCTTCCTCCTGAGCACATTCCCAATTACACTGCCAAATCCAGACTGAGATAGTTCCTCTCAGTTTATTCCTAACAGCTTCTAGATGGATATGAACAGTGGCACGTGAAATGGCTTAAAGAGTCCTACAGAGCTGACCCTCCTTCCCACGTTCCTCCCGTGAATGTACTGTATGTGTCATCTCCTTAGCAGACATTTTCTCCTTCTTTGCCTGGGTCCTATTAATGATCACCATCATCTTGATGGTGATGATGACAAGATGAGGACATCATAAACCTTACGGAGGGTCTTTTTCATGGGCCAGCGGCTATGCGAAGTATTTTTACGTGTTTTCTTTGTTAAATCTGACAATAACTCGGTGTTAGGAGCTATTACTATTCCCATCTTACAAACGAAGACATTTAGTCTCAGGCCAAATTCCTGTAATGAGGTTAATACCCAGATTGTGGGATTACAATTCAAATCTTGGAGCTTGAGATCTTGAACTATTATGGAATGACAAAAAGCTGTAAGTTGGGCTTCTAAGAAAGAGCGTATATTACAGTTTAGGCGTGCCTGCTGCAAACATCACTGCTACTGGTATAGTTTGCTTCTGGAGAGACAGGCTCATGGTGGCTGGTCTTTACACTTGATCTGTGGTTCATCTTGGTGCAGTTGCATGGTTTTAGTCTCCATAGGACATTTTGGCTGGCTTTCCTTGTAATATCCCCTCATTTTCATTTAATGCTTTTAGATGTCTTTAAGTTTAATGATGCAAAACTAGAGAAAAACATAATAATGTTTATTTTGTGATTTTTAAACTAAATGATCATTTCTTTTGCAACTAGCCTAAGATATTTTTCAGAACACTGTGTTTAATGCTACATTATGAGCACACCAAATTATTTTGGGTATTTATGTCTGTTTTGTTCCTTCCTGTCTGTAATCTTTTTCAGATTCCCAACCAAAGCTGAAAAAATGGCTGATCTGATGGACAATAAGGTTCTCATGGCCTTTGCCTCCTATGCAACAATTGTTCTTTCAAAAATGATGTTGATGAGTACTGCAACTGCATTCTTTAGAGTAAAGAAAAAGGTAAGCAATGTGGAGGTAATGTTTTCTGACTGCCCCTGCAACACCCGGTACCGGGAATGGAACTCAGGAACTTGTGCTCGCAAGGCAGGTGTGGTGCCACTGAACTAAATCCCCAGCCCCATGTTTTCTGACTCTTTAAGAGTTGGAATTCTGGCAAACAGTTTTCTTTATTTCTTTTTTTTTTTTCCTTTTAAACCCCAAAGCACAGTGCTCCATGCTGTAAGGTAACGATCATGTGGCACAGTGACTGTAATCATTTATAGACAATCGCTTTCACTCTGAAACTACTGTTTCTTTTTCCTTTTTGGCTTTTACCTTTTCTCATTCTACTCATAGATGTTATTTTGGTGTATTGGGGTTTTACTCATGCTACGTCTCATAGTAAGGTTGTTTTCTTTGGTTTTGGAGTTCACTTTGTCAGTTAAGCTTTGCTTTCTGCTCTGTTTATTGGTCCAGGGCATATACTTTGGTGGGGGAGAGAAGAATAAGACTGAAAAAGAAAGAAAAAAAGACACAAAGAAAGTAATGAGGAAAGGAAGAAAATGACAGGCAAGCTGAGAGTTGAAGTCCTTATTCTTATGGTAGAGCCTCCTGAGGCCAGAACAGGCTGACATCACATTGATTCCTTAAGTAGATAATGTTTCTACCTAGCATTTTAAGAATGGCTTTTTAAAACCTGGAGGTGTGGGCAAGGTGGTAGAAAGATTTCGAAGCGCATGCCTTGTAGTCTAGCCGAGTTTAAGAACAGTGTGTGGAGGGTAGAAGGAGAAGGACTTCTAGATTTAAGTTTCAGAATTTTTTGGGGGGTGCAATCTGTACATATTCACCCTCTTTGTGGAGCCACATGTTTTTCTCTTAGTGCCTGTTGTGTTTTTATTCTCTAGAGACTTGCTTTTATCTGGAGTTCAGTTCTTTGTTTCTGCCTTGAGGTATAAAGGAAGTATACACATTTGTGGTAAAAAAGGAAGTCACTCTTGTGGCTGGGGTGCAATGGGACCACCTGCTGTAGCAAGAGGCACAAAACTGGTTTCTGGCCACGGGTCCAAACCCTCCTCTAACAACGGTAGCAACAAGGAAATATACCTAGTTTTATACGAAAAGAAGTAAGGAATTCTAAGAAAAAAAAACACCTTACAATATTTACGAGATTTTTTTCAAGCTTAAATTAAAATCAGTTTTCTAGTTTTTCCCCCTTTATTATAAATTTTTAAACAGTGGGGCATACTTAAACATTTTTTAAATGCACATTTCAACTTTCAAGGGATAGGATCATTTCAAGCAGCATAATAATTGCAGGAAGGAATACACAAATGAGTGCCCTAGTACATACACTTGTTATTCATAGTAATGCAGTTCCGCTTCTTAAATTTCACTGTATTATTTAACTCAAAATTTTATCCAGTTCAGAAAAAGAAGTATCCTTGTTTTAACAAAGTACCGAACAGCTTTCCCATCCCTCACCCTTTTGTGCTCCTCCTCGGTTCTTTTACATTTGGGGAAGTTAATGTATTGATCTGGATAGGAGCCCATCACTGGGAAATGTTCATAAGCTCAAGGAACAGTGCGGCAACATCACTCTGAAAAGATGCCACCATCTCGACAATCATTGCTGACTTAGAATCAGTCCTGTTTTCCATCATTACTCCCTTTTTATTATTTTTTTAAGCCGGATTTAATTTAAATTCTTTTTTTTTTCTGGTAGGGAGATCGAATTTAAATCCTTGTGCTTGCAAGGCAGGCGGTGGCACCACTGAGCTAAATCCCCGCCCCTTAAATTCTTTTTAAACATTTTTTGCATTGTTAATGAAGTTTCGGGTTTACACTGTAGGTGCTGTTTGTTCTGTGTTTGATTTATTGTTCCGGTTTTCTTTCCATAAAATCCAACTTGGATGCCCGTATTTCTTTCATTACAACGCAAATAACGTATTAGGTAGAAGACCCTCGTGTTGTTTAGTATTTGGAATGAGCTTTTTCTTGGTGTATGGAATAGGCTTTTGCCAACCCAGAAGATTGTGCAAGCTTTGGCAAAGGAGAGAATGCCAAGAAATATCTTCGAACCGATGAGAGCGTGGAGCGCTTGCGAAGGTAAGCCACTGTCTCTGGAAATTAATTATGTGCTTCACTTTCGATCAAGGACTTCAGTAAAGAGACCGGATTTTGGAGAAGAGGGGAAAAAGTTAGTCATCTTACCTGCTCCATATAAACAATTACAGAAAATTAGCGATCTAGAAGTCTCCAAGTATCATTGCAGTTACACTTGTTGCTAATTATGTTACACTTCTGTGGGCTTTCTTGGGGTTGATGAGGATGCTTTGTATGGCAGTAAAGCAGCACTGAGGACAGGTAGGATGGGGTAAGTTGGGGTCAGAAGAGTTTTGCAGTTTTGTCGTTTTTTCCCGGAGGTAAAGACTGTCCATTCCTGGAAGAGGTTGACGAAGTTGATGTTCTTGCGTAAGATTCAAAATATGAAAGTTGACCACATTTAGGGAAATAGGTTTATGGAATTCTCTTCTCTCTCTGTCTCTGTCTTGTAGATTCTATGTTTGATGTTGGGAATTCAATAGACAGTGAAAATCAATAAGCCAAAATACAATCGTCTAACAGTATAGTTAAATATGCTTGTTTTAAACCACTGTAAATTCTAGTTCTAGAGGTCTTTTTCTTAACCCTTGTCATAAAGTCGCACAACGTGTGAACAATTTTTTTGATGAAATTTCACTGCCAGCCCATCGGTCACGTTTTTCTAACATATGCAATACCAGAGTTAAATATCTCATTCATTATCTTGTGATGCTAATTCAGACCGCCATACTGTTCTGAATAGCGAAGCTGAGGCTAAGAGAAAAGAACTTCATCTCTGTAATGGAGGCGTGAGCCCAAATCTCCAGGTTATATTTGCATTACCCCTGCGAAAGTGCAGCCCCTTCCAGCATTTAAGCTGATTCCTTTACGGTACAAGGTAAATGGTTCCAGCTGACTTGAGGTCCATGCCTGCGTGTATGTTTCCGTAGGCTACCTTTTGTTCTGCTCAATGCAAACTTAGCCCTTCCTTCAGTTCCCCCAATAACTCAAGTGAAAAGATGTGGGTAGAAATGGACTTGGCTGAGCTTAAGTGCAGAGGAGTTTACACTGTGGCAACACAGAGGTTTGAGGTTAGATGCTAGACCACTGGATCTGACCATCCCTTCAGCGTCCTCTGAGGAACTCGCTCTGTACCTTGTGTACCTCCGGTATCATCCAGCGTTACATCATTTGGAGGTTCCTGTCTTGCCTGTGTACTCTATTACCCGTTCGGCACTGAAATTAAATTTACTTCTTCTTTATCAAGCAATAGAAATATGTATATATTTATTATACTTTTGTTTTTTTTAATCTACGAGGAAATCTGTGTTGGACACTTAAAACAAAGTGTTAACGTCTGGCTCTCCGTCCTTGTCTGATTCATCAGTCCTCCCGTGTAAGTGTGCCGTTCTGGAAAGTGAATTGTACTGCGAAGATGGATCTCAAATTGTTTCAGAAAAAAGAATCAATGTGAAAATCTCCAACTGTATCGGAGGCAAAGGTGTCCGTGTTAGGAGGGGAAAGAGTACAAGTTAGAACGGATGAGCAGGGCATTGATGCCATGAAACATTTGGAAGCCTTATGGTCGCCTTTTCTGTGCTTTCCTTAGAGAGCAGGTAGCCACCTGCGTGTTGCTAATCCTGGCCCTGTTTAGTGCTCAGAAAACTGCCAGGGACAGAAGTGTGAGAGCAGTTAGTAAGACAGAAAGGAAAATACAAGTAATTCTCATGTATGAAATCTTAACAAAAGGCATTTGGGGGAATTAGACTCCTCCCCAGTATCCTTTCTGACCTCTCCTTCCCCCTCCCCCCATTCCAGTGGGGGTATACTTCTGAAAGAGAAAGCCATAATCTAAGTTGATCGTCTAGTCAGGTCTCAGTTTCATTTTAGTACGAATGATTGACCCTAGTTGTCAAAGGGCTGGGTGAGGAGGTGCAGCGCCTTGTGAATAGCGCCCCCTGGTGACAAGACAGTGGTCTCAATGTGGCAAGTGGGATTGTCTCAAAGTGCAAGGTGTTCAGTTTCCAGCAATACTTGCTCAGAATTTAATGGCCACATCAAAAAAGTTCCTGATAATAACACATTTTTAGAGATAACTTCACTTGATCTTAGCCAAAAGGCCGAGAAGCGATTTTTAGAGATAACTTTCAGAGAAAGATTTCTATAGTCTTCCTTTTCCACTTTTAACCTCGTCTCCCTCTCTATATGGTATTTCAATGGCAGGGAGCACAAATAAAGTGAAAGGGCAACAGTGGAGTCATAAATAGAGTGAAAGGTATGCTTTAGGGAATGCTGTATTGGAAAAATGGATATGTACACATATGGAACAATTAATTAAAAGCTCAAAGAAATACGTATTGAAATTTTAAGCGATGTGGCATGAACTCAGTTGAGTTCTGAGCAGACAGAAGTCAGTGATAGAAAGTACTTTCCATATTTGTTTATTTAATCATATTTCATTTTGTTCCAAGACTTCAGGACCATATTCATTCAATATTGTGAGACAAATGAAAGTTGAAAGGCAGCTTGAGAAATAGAGTTATTCAAAAGAACTTGGGGTTGGTATTTGGGGAAAGGAGAGACATTTAGAATACACTACCTTCAAAGGATGAGAAGAAGACCCCTTCACTGAGAGTGTTGATGGAGCCTATGTGGAACTTTCTGGGGACCAAGAAGAGACTGTTGCATGGGCTAGAGTTGAACTGGATGACTTCTCTGTGGCCCCAATGCATGAACAAAGCATTTATTATAAGGTTCTTGGGTATCACGGTCATATCTTCTTTTGGAGTGTTATCAACAAACTCCCGTCTTTCGGGGGTTTATAATATTCCTATGAATAGAAGGCCAATGTGCATTTGATAATTAGAGAATCACACGAAGCCTTTCTTCAGTAGATCTTACAGGGTTGGGGGTACAACACATAAATTCCCAGAGGCTTAGGAACATTTCATAAAGGCAGAACTTGAATATTATGATTTAGAGGAGGAAGAGGAGAAGTCATTAACTTGAGAAAATATCTTTATGGGACCTTGGGTACACTGATGTGTGCTGGAGCAAGAGCTTTGGCTGTGGCGAGGGAGTCAGTAGAAATTTAGTTTTGCTCCTCTGGTAGTTGGCCGGCCCTTGACAATTCTTGAACACATGTAGCAACTCAAGTTCAGTTCCAGGGAGGCCAGGATCCAAGTGATTCTGATTTGAAAAATGAAGTGTGAGGGTGGCAACCTGAGCACAGAGCTGGTGGGGAGGCGTGTCTCAGAGTAAGTGTGTTCCGTGGGGCATCTGCCCAAAGGAGAAAGGAAAATGGAAACAAGGACCCACAGAGAGAACAGGCCCCTGTTGAAGCAGTCACTTTGGAAGACGAACGACTTCCGGGCCCTACATCTGGCAGCTGAGGCCGACATGAGGGAAGCTGTCTCTCTGGAGGTGTCGGTCAGTGGAGGTGTGACGAGTGCCCCAGGGAGAGCTGGGCAAGTGTGTATGTCTGGGGCAGAGTTTGGCATGCACTCTGCAGTTGTGTGGAAATCAGGCCTTTCTAGGACAGTGAGGGGTGTTAGCTCTGGGGATCCTGTGTGGGTTGAGTAAAGAGAAAGCGAATTGGGAAGGAGAAACAAATAAAGATAGAAGGAAGCCAGAAAAAAGAGGATAATCCAGTAAGGTCAAAGTATTTCCTATTCTTGACTTCCTTCACTTGACTCTCACGTTCCTCTTACAGTATTGTCTGTGACTTTCTTCTCTGCTTTAATAAGCATTCCATTCCGAAATCACTTTGGCTTAGAACTAGACATTGCTTCCTATAGGTCCCTCTTTTGTAGTTTCTTCCTCGAAGGTTCTGTGCTTGGAGGACATCTCTGGTCTTACATGAGAATTCAAAGGAGGGAAAGAAATACCCTTGGTGTTACTGGAGAAGAGGGTCCTTCTGGAATAGAAAATGATGCCCCTGTCCTTTCTTGCCTATCCTTGCCTTATTCTCAGGAGCCCTTGGATTATTTCATGAAAGACAGGAGATGAAAACCCTCATTGCATTCTTTCTTTGCTTTTATTTAGGGAAAAGCTGCTGCTTACATCCTTTCAAGCTCATCTAGGTAACTTTTGCTGCTTCACAACTCCATGTTGTGAGCATTTTTGTCAGGCAAGGTTAGAGATCTTGGGAAAACAGGAGAAAGGTGAGGAGGGGAAGTAATGCTGTCTCTGAGCAGGCAATATGTAATAATTACATTTTACATAATATGTAGTAGCAGGGAGCACCATAACACAGAAATATTTCTCATCCTGAAATATGTATTGGGAGCTGACATACTAGTATAATCTCTATTTGGAGTCTAGATCCTGAAAATTCTGTGGACTTGAGAAGGACATCACATTTTAAAATTATGCCCTTTTAAAAAAGCTTAAATCAGTAATAGACGCACCTTTTATTCACAACCCTAGCCCAAAAAGCTCAAGGTGCCATGAATTAAAAAGAAATCATGTAGTTAAGGCAAACTTTATTTTCTTCTAGTAGTTCTATAATGATGGCATTTAACAAATCTCTTTTCCCCAAACCATCTTTTGTGTATACTTTGTACTTTTCCTGTATCATTATTAACTTAATTCCTTTTGTGGTTTGAAGTTGGAATGGCTAAAACTTTACCCATATTTAGAAGGTCAGTTACATCTTCTGTTGTTTGGCGTATGAGGCTCTTGATGTTTATTTGGTACATTAACTTTAGCAGAATAGTAGTTTGGGTGAGTGGACAGGGATTTGAGAAATAACCCTTCTGAAAACTAGCAGAAGTAAAGGAGGAGTCTTAACAAAAATGATAACCAAAGGCTTTTCTTCCTTTGGGAAGAAGAATTTTTCTAAGAAGGATCTTGAATTGCGATCATATGTTTCATATTACAAAAGGTACGGTGAGCTTTTCTAGATAGGTACAGTTTTGATATTCCAGAAACTCCAAAATGCCTTCTCATTTATTGAAAAACACTAAAAATAAAAAGAAACAAAAATAATGAGATGCTTTAGAGAAAACTGAAGTGGGTAATAAAGCAAGGTTATTCAAGAGAGGAAAAAAATGGCTCTGACTTTGCATTTTGAAGATCTATCGATACAGTTTTAGAAAAGAGGGGAGGAATATATTTCTACTGAGTTTGAAATTTTAATAGTCATCTTTTCCCACAGAGTCCACCTGAATGATCTGGAAAATATTGTGCCATTTCTTGGTATTGGCCTTCTGTATTCCCTGAGTGGTCCAGATCTCTCCACAGCTCTCCTGCACTTCAGAATCTTTGTTGGAGCACGGATCTATCACACCATGGCTTATCTGCTGCCCCTTCCCCAGCCAAACAGGGGCCTGGCCTTTTTTGTTGGATTTGGAGTCACTTTTTCAATGGCTTACAGTTTGCTGAGGAACAAACTGTATCTGTAAGGGGTATCATGCACCTTGTCATCCAACTGTTTTTTTTTTTTTTTTTTTTTTTTATGTTTTTTCTATTTTTTATTTTT